TAACATTACAAGTTAATAATGTATAAATACAGTAACATATATAAATTTCTATTTATATTTATATTTTTTCTTTTATGTATTTATCTATGTAGACATTGACATATATAAGATATCACAAAAGTAATATGTAAAATCTTTTGTAACAATATAATACAAGTATTAATAAGAATTTAATTTTTCATAATTAAATAGTTGGTCATAATGTAGATGTTTAGTATTACATTTTTGTGTGTATATACCATTTTTGAATTAGATTATTAAATTCACATAAAAATCGAAAAGAATTTATAAATAATTTGTGTAAAATTAGAGATTAGTGAAGAAAGATCTAAAAAAACAAAAAAAAGGAGAAGTTTATTGTGTTTGTTTTGGTTTGTTTTTTTCAAATTTTTGTTTTGAATTTTTTAGTTTCCATGTTTTTTTGTCTTTGACATTGGTTATTTTATTTTATTTTTAACAAACCTTTTATTTACTTTTTAAATTCACTTAATTTAATACTTTTAAATTTAGATTCACTTAATCAAAATACACATAGAAAATAATTTGGTATGTGTTCTTTTTGAAAAAAAATAATATTAATATTAAATAATAATAATACTAATAACAAAAAAAATATATAATAATAAAAAATAGTACATGTTTGAGTTTATAAATTTTTGTACTATTATTTTACTTTTTAATTCTATTTATATTATTAGATATTAAATTTTCATGTAAAAGTATAATTTAAATATAAAATATGAACAAATTTTAGTATCTTTAATCACCAAAATTGAGAAAATATAAAAAATCAAAAATTAAAAAACAGATTTAAAAAAATAAAACCAACAAAAGTGGCTTTTGTTTAGAATTTTGATATCATACTTTGGTTATTAAAGTATCATGTAAAATATTACAGCTCATAAAATATAATTTAAACAAAAAGAAAGTGTATGAAGATAACCTGCAAAATTTTGAAATGTTGCACAAATCTCTATTTTAAAAACGCATGCATTTTCTTCTGTTTAGATTCAAGCGAATGCATAAAATTTTAAGATTCAATCAAAACTATTTATAGTGATTTGATCCATAGTGGACCATTGTAAATATTATATATATTAGTATAAAAACAGATACATAAAATAATAAAGAGTAGTTTTTTGTTCTTCAAGCATCATCAATATACAATATAGGGCGACAGGTTTATTTTATTTTATTTTATAAGAAGGAAAACGGTTTATTTATATTTATATATGACTCTTGGAAACAAATATATCGTTCTTAAATGCTTAACTCAAAAAATAAAGGAATAGTTAATTTATTAGGGCTCTTCATGACTTTTAAAAAACTATAATAAATTTAAGAAAATAAAATTAAAAATTTTTTAAAAATAAAATATCATGAGAGACTCTTCACACTCTTATAATAATAATAGATATATTAAGGCCTCGTTTGGCAAATAATTATTTTAGTCAAAAAGTCAAAAAATTATTTAAAAAGTCAAAAAACCAACAACTTATGCCAAAAAGTCAAAGATTTCGTTTTCTCTTTACTTTTTGCACATCTTTTTGTAAAAAATCAAAAAATCTTTCTAAGCATATTAATTTTTTTATATTATATTTTAATTAAAAAATAAAAAATTACTAAAAAAAAGCCTCTTCCAACCGAGCTAAGTTCAAACACTACATAGATTTGTGTTAGCACCGCCGCCCCATAATTTTCACTGCATCCAAAAGCTAAAAGCCAAGCAACTCTACATGGGACTTCCAAACCAAATGATCCTCTACTCATCCGTCCTCCTTAGTCAGCAACAATGGTGCATGATACTTCAAATTCGGTCGAAATTGCCACTAGTTTTGATTTTTGATGAAACTGGTTTTCACTGGACAAGTCCAATCATCACACACACACACACATATAGTGGAGACGTGTGAAATTGAGATAATTTCTATTCATTAAGCCAACCCCTATATATAACCTTAGGTATGTCGCTGCTATTGCCCATAAGCACTTCACATTTCACAAAAGAGAGCAAGAGAGAGAGAGAGAGAGCAATATGTCAATGGAGGTGTATAAAAGAGCAAAGCCATACTTGGCAATGATTTTGTTGCAGTTTGGGTATGCGGGTTTAGGTATTATAGCCAAGTTTGGTCTAAACCAAGGGATGAGCCTTTACACCTTCGCTGTCTA